CGCTGCAATGAAGTTGCAATGACGTGTTTTTAGGCGTTTTTACTTGCGAAATTGATTTTTTACAGTGTGCGTCAACATCTTCATTTCCTGAAACTTTAAACCCCATTTATATGATAGCCCTTTTAGATACGATAAATTCCCTCATTGGTCTTATTGTCATGCCACTGATGGATTTTCCGTAATTTTGTGTTTTTCACACTATGTTCAAATTCGCTCGTTCGCTCGTTACCGAGGTCACGCTTTTGAGGTCAACATAAGTTTGTAATATGTCAACATTCGTGCAAGGCCGATTGACTAGAGGCCTGAGGTCTTTTACGCTGAGTAGTGGTAGATGCCCATCTCTTATTTACGTTAGATTTGACTACCCTTGACGTAGTCATCTCGCTGACGGTAAAGGCAGGTGCTATTACGATTAACGAAACACTGGGTGTTCAAAATTTGTGTTAACTATAATAGTCCGGAATTTCTGGATCGAATTTGCGTTTGCGAGCTTTTACTGGCATCCTTGGGCATCCACGGGGCGACGCATTCTCAGGCACGTAGCCAGGATTTTGCTCAGGGAGGGGCCACAGGTCGCGGCCTAGTATCGTACCCCCTCCAAAAAAGACTTCTCGGATCTGGCCCACTATTTTTGGAGGTGTGGTGCAGGCTGCAGCTGCTTTTAGTTATTTCTATTTTTATTCACTTCCATTTTATTTTTCGCCTTCAGGGGGAGGCCATGGCCCCGTGCCCCTCCCTCCTGGCTACGTCCCTACCTACACGCATTATCAGTGTCACGATCGGGATACCTCTCGTTCGTCCAATTATCCAAATCTATTTTACAATAAAAATCAGACCTATTTATAATAAAAATGTTGCATTTCTGGTATGATATTGATCATTTTTGTATATTTATATCTATTATCCCAATTAATAGATATAAATATTTGTTTTGTTGGGTTAGGCGTTAGGCCCTTTCGGTCTGACAAGACCATTGCAGAGCCGGAAGGATGATAGAAATTAGGGGGAGACATTGGTCTGGGCAGACACCCTAGAGAGTCGCCGGAGCTGAGCCCGTCCGAATGGACAGGCCGACCAGCCCCCCAAGGCACTCTCTGCACCCGGCTACGGGAGGCGCTCCCTCGGGAGCAGCGGTGCCGCTCCAAGGGAGCAGCCCGCATGAGATAAAGGTGCCTGTCCAGCCCGGAGTGGGGTTGCGGCGTGGAGGAGAAGGATTTCTGTATCCTGAGGATAGAAGCACGGAAAGGTGTGATATAGATATAAATAGGGGGGGGGGGGGTAGGGGAGAGTGGGGAAAGATGCCCAGGGTTTGACTATGTCATATATTATTCGAAAATGACGATCGGAAAGCCAAAACTTGGGGTTTCAACGGAAGCCGACATCATTTTTCTCCAAAAATATCACACTTTCGTGCCTGAAATATGATACCTTTTTTTGCTATTAAGCATTTTCCTGAAGAAGTGAAAGGGGGCATCTTACCCCACAGGGTGGAAAAGACGCCCCCTGGCGTTGGGTAAGATGCCCCCTGCACTAAAAGTGACATAAATAGGCACGTGAATCGCCTGAACGAATCAGTAGTCCCTTCGAGCCTGCGGTAGACACCAAACGTCATCGTAAGGGCCCTCAAAAGTAGTCGTGAGGGGCTTCAGAGGTCATCGTTAGGGCCATCATAGTCCAGCGCGGCCCGTGGAGCCAACGTGGGAGCCCTCAAAGGATGTCGTGAGGGGCCCTGGAACCAATAATGGAGCCCACAGAGGCCGTCGTGAGGGCTCTCAGAGTCAGATGCCGCCCAAAAAGTCGCTATGTGGGCCGAGAGACCGGCATGGGGAGCACCCGACCGTACCGGACTCTCAATAGTCCCAGATCGGCTTTTGTCTCTCATCACAAGTATGCAATAAATGATTTGACGGGCTGCTTGAAGGACAGCCTACGGATTTAGGGGGGCGTCTTTCCCCATCAGGACAGGGGGCATCTTACCCCAAGGTACCGAAGTAACATTAAATCAGCACAATTTGTTAGCCATAAAACTACACCCGGAAACAAACTGTTTGGGACACAGTACACGCATGTTAATGTATCACGACTATAGCAAGGGACGCAAAAATTATCTACCTTCTTTGATATTTACAATGTTTTGACGCCAAAATATTTTTTGAAAGCAGCAAATAAAAAACATGCAATCACCAGCCAGCCGTTGCCCAACTGAGCTTCGCAAATTTTTGTGCAGTTAACAAGGCAGGCTTCCACTTTACGCTAAGAACATTAATTTCCAGGTTCGATTCTTTGTTTCCCCGCTAGAGGGGGTGGGGCGTCTTTCCCACCCTGGGCATCTTACCCCACTCTCCCCTATTCATAGGGCACCTCCTAACTCCGGAACTAGGTAGGTACTGGGCCGATTGTCAATATTCAAACGACGGCTGTTAGCCCTAGAAAAAAAAAACTGTGGGACAATATTTAATTTCATGGACCTCCACTCTCCAGGTTAGCAATGACGTCACTGGTCAGGGCAATACGAATTATCTATGTTTTGCCCTGTTTACAATGTGGGCTATGGCCGCCGGCTTACCAGTCAGAATAGCCCATTTTTTTGCACGCTGCTGAATAGATGCTTGAGATACCCTGAGGGTACAGAACTTGTGCGTTTTTTTTTCAGGCCAAGGCCAGGCCATTCCATGGTCACGGAAACTGTATATCGTTCATCGGTCATGTGATGCATGTCTTATGGTCCATTTAGGCCATAGATTTTGAAATCAGTGTCGTCTGTGTCGTTTGAGACCATTTTCAGCCGAATGTAACTGAGGTCAGGTCTCCACCCCCGGCCCGGCGCGGGTCAACATTGCGTTATTCGGAAGTCGGAACGCTTTTACCTGTTAACTCGAGCAATTCAAACGTAGACGTGATGTCATTCCGTTATTTATTCCCAAAATAATGCATGAACCACTGTACTTAAGACACCATGAACGAAAGACAAATGTCACCCTTGTGGTTCATGGTACATTCTCAATGTTCTTGTGACTTGTGAGTATCCAAACCAAGCCTATAGATCAACTCCGGCTCAACAGCTTCATAGTGCACAGTCCTAAACATTGATTAACATGCCTTCAATAACTTCATCAGCCCTGGTTACCCCCAAACCCGAACGATGCCCACAGCCAAGGACGTGTCATCGATAACCTCCTCTCTCGGCCGCACCATCATAATTAGTAGCCCTCCTCCCACGATTGTCAGCTCATGAAAGCCTGCAGCGCTCCTTCTCGATTCGCCGTATCACAATTTAGGCCCTTGGTCTCACACATACTCCATTTAGGTTATACCATTCCACGGTCATAGTGCCCGGGGGCGGTATTCTCCGCATATCCTTGTAGCAGTAAAGACCAACTCCACATCTGGGGGAGCCCTCCCAGATCCCGCCACAGGCTTCTCCTTCGGCACGGAGACAGACCTGACAGCAGCCACACACACCCATGCCGACTCCGGCCCGGCAGTTTTGCGGCTGGCGACATTCCTCTCGCCTACAGGGGGGACAATGAAAGGCTGTGACAGCAGCCAGCAGGCAGGCGAGGACCAGCAGACGCAGCATGGTTAGCTTGCTGCTGAAGAAGTTGTGAGAGCTGCGACCTGTAGGTATCTTGTAGACCGGGATCGTCACGTTGCTTCAGGCGACCAGACAGCAGCAGAGGCTGTGGTTTAAACAGAAGACGTTCTGAAGAATCGCTTCTTGGTGTCCGACTGAGACGTCCAGGAAAACGGAACTAGCAGAGCACTAGTTGAAGCGATCTTCACTGCGGCTGGTTGAATGCTGCGTTTGAGAGCAGCCACACTGTTTTATACAGCGCTCAGCTGATGAGACGTCAAATGTTTTGTTCCACAAAATTGACGTCAAAACGAACCATATGTTCATCCTGTGTGACGTCATGCCAAACTATGCTCAGCTCGTGAAAGGTCATCCACATCCAACTCGGTGACTCTAAGAAATCAACATAGCATTTCGCTGAGCAGCCAGTCGGTGATCAGTTGAGTTGTATATGCTTCTGAGCTGATCACACGTCAACTGAGCCACCACTGTTTATAAAAACGCTTCGTGCATGAGTACAGTGGTCCCAATCAAAATGGGCCACCCGACAAGATGCCCGGATGCGATACACCCTTTCACCTCAGTGGAATCGAGCAGAAACACTCCCGTCTCTGAGCAATATACGTTAAAAGACGGAGAACTCCAGTCTAATGTCTGGCCTTTATGTGATTGTTCCCATCTCCAGTTACTCCGTCTCCAGTCTTGTGTCCTAATTGGTCGATGCTGAGTCTGAGTGTTCCTCTTTCCTCCTTCCTCCAGTGTGGGGCGGCCTTTACCGGGGAAGATAGGAATACCTACCTGAAACGTTCCCTAATAGCAACGGAACGAAAAATGCCTACATTTCATGATATAAGGGAAGTTGCGTACTGGCATCGACATTTGCATGGGTATGTTTACAACATACATACCACGACTATGGATTATAATAAACACGGTGACTATACGAGTATAATAAATAGATACCTTTTAGATATCGCGAAAACTTATGAAGACTCATGGAACTCGGGCTCAACGTTGTTCGTTTTACTCAGCGTTTTTAGAGTTGGTAGTTTTGTATGTGTTCACTGTTCAGTACCTATCTTTTGCTCTCATAAAACATCTGTCTTTTGATACCCTCATTGACACTACATGAAAGGATACACATGTAAATCGTGGCTAATAAAAAGTGTTGGAAGTGCACAACGTTTTACCGTAGCTAAAGCAAACGACACCAACACGATCAGCGAATGAATGCTTTATCAATCAATAAATAGTGTAGACTTATAGACACTGCAATAGACGAAACTGAAATAGGTCGAAACTCCAAGGTCTGTCCTTAAAGTTCAGTTTTGTAGGCAGAAGGGTCCTTGAAGTTAAGCTTTTGCAGACAGGAGGGTCCTTGAAATTAGGCTTTTGTAGACAGAAAGCTAAAGTACAACATCATTAATATTGTAGTGGCACCTTTTATTGTCCGAAAAATAGCCACGTTTATTGGCACTGCTGTTAAAAGCATACAATTTTTCTGCAGGCTGTCACAGGCACTGAATAACAAGAAATACAAAACATTCGGAGACATTGGATTCGTTACGGCTATTGTGAGAAAGTTGAACAGCTTGCACTGGAAAATTGATCGTTTTCTTTTGTAAAAAGTTAGAGCATAACACTGCCTAGTGAGAGAACTTATGACGCCAACAAGCAACGAATCTAACTTCAAGGGGAACTTTGCATCGCGCCGCAGGCGCTAAGCGAATACCACAATTTATTCACCTTCAACGAAGGAGCGACTCGCCATCAAAATCAATGGGACTAGACGGTAGACGGTGGCCATGATCTTTTTGAAACACGAATCTCATTTGAAACAAAAACAAATTACTTATAAGAAAAAAATAACGATCGATTGGAAACATCCACGCGTTCGCCTTGCACACATAAACAGATGCTCTGGACTTGAACACGGAAAAGCAACAACCTTTTCCCATTTTTAAACAAATACGGACGCGATTCTTAGGCCCTACTATGTAGTATCGCTCCAGCCAATCACATGTAACTACTCCTTATCATTTCCAAAAACCTTATTCATCAGTGTCACCAAACCACCATGTTTTCAAAGCACCGGAAAAACGAGCAGGCTTTTTCTAGATTTATAGCTTTAGTATTGATGCAATCACAGTTTTTTAATCATATAACATGAACAAATCAGGAAACTTAACGTATCAACACGACAAAACACTATTTTGCGTGGCTTATCTTCAGAATCAGACAAATCCCACAGATTCTTCATTTTTTTTTATACATCATTTTATAGATTGGATAGACATTGATGCGCTGATCAAACAGCATAACGTGGTCACAATAAGCTGCGTCGAATATATTTTGTGACGTCACCGCATGCAGTGGAGTACGGGAGGAGACCGGATCCTTGACGGACTCTCAGTTGCCTTCCACTAACATCACCAGAGCCCTTTTGTAGTCGCCAGAAGTCTCTCCCTGGAAAAGTTAAGAACGAGCGTTAAAAAAAAAAATATGACTTGCTCAGGCGTACGCTGTGCTAGAAGGAATGAAACCAAGTTTCATTGGGAAAGAAGCAAATATTTCGGTTACCGGATGCGTTCCTTTTAGATTGAGAATAGAACCGATTCCAATTGGTACCTACTGTACTAAGTACCGGTTTCACTTACACTATTTCCCTTTTTTGATAAAACATCGTTTCCCACAACTGGACCCCATTACAGTTGTAAACATCACCCATCCTTGCTCCCCCTCACTCACCGAAATATCCTTTTCCATGGCGTGCCCGTATCTCCGCAGGTATTCCTGCTTGATGTTGGCCAGGTCGTACTCTGACCGAGACACGATGAGACGAATCAGGTCCGAATCGCGGGTGCCCGCTCCGCTCATAGTATCCTTGATACGCTCCGCGTAGTAGGCCGGGCGGTTTAGCGAACTCTTCACTGTTGGAGGTTGGGGGGATGAATTTAGTTGACAAGGCGGTCTGACGGTCGCAAAGTAAAATATGAATGAATGAACGAACGAATGAACGAATGCATAGTTACACAAATGAGGAATGGGCGAGTACCGCATCCACCATCTGAAGCTACCTGCTTCCTTATCTAGCAAATGCACGAAAGAAAGAGTTAATAAACGAACGAAAAATTGACCACACTATTCTTGTTTTTTTATGATTCGAATTCAAACCCTTCTTTGTATTGTACATCTCCCAACAAACTTCTTTCCAGATGCGCACAAAACGACCTGCAGTGAAATCCCTTCGGCCCCGACCCTCATATAAAACCCTTTCGCCCCAAGACCACACAAGATCACCAAGAAGATAACAGCCCGATTCCTTTCTAAATGCCCCAATAAAAAAAACACTAAGGCCAACAGGACTTCCTCTCTTCACCATATGCACAGGTCACTTACAGACAGCCAGCAGCGCCTGACGGTAATCGCCGCTGGTCTCCGACTTTACAGCATCCAGCAGAGTCTTCTTGGATATATTCTCGTACTCTGCCATTATGGCGTGAAGCTGGGCGGGGCTCTGCGTGGCGACAATCACGGTGAAGGCTTCCTCGTCCGTGCCAGTCTTCTTCTCACCTGGGAGAGAGCGAGACAGAGGAGTTTGAGTCAGGGAAGGGAGTCAGAGTGAGCTGGGGAGTCAAAGCGTGGCCCAGGGAGTCCGAACAGAAAGCGAGCTAGAGCGGGAATAAGAGGCAGTGCAAGAGCTATGGAGCCAAAACTGAATGTGAGATAGAGTTAAGGAGTTAAAACGTGAGGTAGGGAGCAAAACAAAATGAGGGTAAAGTTGGAGCGTAAATTAGGGAGTTAGAGCGTAAATAGGAGCATACTTTGGGCCAGAGAGTCAGAGCATGGCTAATGTAACGGGATAAAGTCTGGTAAAAGAGGAAATACTCGAGTGTTGTGAGAATAAAGGGCGATGGGAAGCGAGATGGAGAGTCCGTGATGTTGGCCAAATTGATTTGCGAAGAAAGGAGCGTCAGTAAACTCATCCTTCACTATGATTGTTTGGTTTTGCTTATTCGACACTATTTGTCAATCATTCGCTACCAGTAGCTTCTAAGTTCAAATACGCTCACGATATCAGGCAGTGCTTACCAGCCTTGTAGAGAGCCATAGCCTGGTTTGCTGCCTTGGCCTTATCAACCTGGTTGGATTCGTCGCGGTTCGCCTGAAACAGAAACAGTAGAAGCGTGCAAAAGAGCATGCGCAACAGCATGAAACAGATGAACGATAAGGCGTGTCACGCGTCAGATGATCGCTAAAATAAGACACCCCAGTTGACTCTAAAAAAGCCAGCAAGTTTGACTGTTTGCCGAAAATGCAGACAGCGATTTCTCAAAGATCATTAGATTTATGCGTTGTAATATTGTCACTGCAACAGTAAACACAACCTTTCATTCAAAACGTAAACATTCATTGGTGAATGGTCTCACCTGAAGCAGGGCAGTAAGCAATAATTTGAAATTATGACTGGATTCTTTCCGCACGGAATCCTCCAACGATTTACCGTACACTGAAATGAGAAATACATTGTATCAGAAGTCAAAGCCAGAACTTTCATTTGAATCAATAACAGGTGTATTCAAAAAAGCAATGCAAACATCTGTGAAATGCATTGAGAATTCTAACGATGCTGGTTTATCTTAGGGATGCCAATTTATCTACCATTCTATAGAATGTAAAATAACATGAAAGAAATAACAAGGAACATCAGCCACAAAAAAATAACTATTCACACCTGAAATGGTACTGATAAGGCTATGCTCTTGCGATGTAGAATTTGTAGAAACTTTAAGTAGTATCACCTCTGCTACACATCAATAATACAATCATATTTGCCCCAAGTAATGTAGTTATTCTCTTTCTCAAGTTACCCCTGTATCTCACTGTTAGCATACGCCGCCTTGATGCCGTTAATCTCTGCGTTAGTGTGTGTGCAAAGCGTCTCAAACAGGGTATCTTCGTCTGTCCCCGCGCCCGACATCGCCGAGTGAAGCTGCTGCGCCAGAAACTCGTACGGCGGCATCATCATCGCCAGGATCACGTCCTCGAAGTCGCCGCCCAGCTCCGACTTCAGGTCCTTCAGCAGGTCCTACCGGTGGTGGGAGGCGGGGCGGGGAGTGTCGTGATGTAATGAGATGATGAAATGGTTTGAATTGAGGGGTAGCATTTTTGAGGCAAGACTAGTGACTACTGTGTACCTATGTAGTTGTACCATATCCACTCAAAGTATTTCACAATCCGTTCATCACATCTCTGATTCATTACTTCATTCTCGTTGCGTTGCATTCTCACGCATCTCATTCCTTCACCCCTTTGGCTAATTTCAGTACACACATTCTCTCATCACCAGACACACCTTTCCCTCTTCTATCCCCTCTCCCCACCCGACCCTTCTATCCCTCTTCCTTTCAGTTTCCTCCTTACCCGTCCATAGCCCGACTTGTAGGCAATCGTGATCTGCTGCCGCTGGGCGTTACTTCTCTTACACAACACATCAATGATGGCCTGCTCATTGGTACCGAACCCCTTCATCGCCTTGCGAAGTTTGCTGGCATCTTCAGCGGCGTCGAAACCGGGCGCTGGCCGGATGGTGCCGTGGGTCTGAAACAGGCGCCGGATTCAGATTTACAGATATTCGGCGGAAGATCAGCAATAATACACATAACACAATACACATGTAGTTTTACAGCCGCTCGGTAGTAATAAAAAAATAACGAAATGACTAATATAAATAAAAAGGAGAAAAAACTGTTGGTAGGTAGATAGGCGTGGAGTTGAATCGGGGCGAGTTATTACGAGCGAGCGAGCGCAGCGAGCGAAGTGAGTCTTTTCAATATAACGGAAAAATCTCAGTATGAGCGGCCCGGCCCGGCCCGGCCCGGCCTGTAACGCTTTTGAGAGGCTTATATCTCAGCAACCGCTGGACCGATTGGCCTGCGGTCTTTTTTGTTGGGTAGCCCCATCCCTTCTACCCCGTAATTGACTACGTTTGATACATCGCATTGACCGTCGTGGCACGTGCCACGTGAAAAGTCAAGGGTCTTCAAGCTGTTTTGCAAAAGTAGTGATTTTGAGAGGCTCATATCTCAGCAGCCGCTTGGGCGATTTACTTGCGGTGATTTTTGTAGGGTAGCAGCATCCCTTCTACCCAAAATAGGATACTCTCGATGTATGTGGGTCACCCCCAGTGCACGTGCAAAATACAACAATAAGAGGTGCCAAATTTGTTCTCATTTCAGTAACTCGGTAATTACTGGGGCGATTTCGCTGAAACTTGGCATACAGGTAGGCACCCACCAGGCAATGCATTCCCATGCGTTGCGGTTAGGGTGCTACTGCACGTGCGCACGTGCAGGGGGCGTTTCCAGATCTCGAGAACGGCTGGGCCGATTGCGCTCAAATTTGGTACACGGTTGGGGACCAGTTAGTAGGGTGCCGTGCAAAAGTCATTTTGGACCCCGTTTGCACGTGCGCACGTGCAGAATGCCGCTTCCAAATCTCAGGAACGGCTGGGCCGATTGCGTTCAAATTTGGCACACCGCTAGCGACCGGTTAGAAGGGTGCTTTGCACAAGCCCGTTGGAAGCACCCGCTCGCCCTTCCGCACGTGCAGGGCTCACTATCTCGCTCGCTCGTTCTTCGCCCAAAAGGCGTTTTACTGGTATGTAGTATACGTGCGCCAACATTGGAACATGGCGCAGTAATTGATAAGAGCTTAGGACAAGTATGGCGCCATCCACACATGGCGCAGTAAACTTGCCTAATTAATTCATTCCGAATAGTCATTTTTACTGAATGTGAGCCAGATTTTCTCCCCTCTGCTGAAGTCGGGTGCTTAAGAAGTGCTTAAAGAAGTTGCATGCATAACTTCAGGCTTGGCCTCAATGAAAGGCTTGAATCTACTTAAAAGGCTAAAATAAGAACACCTATCAATGTAATAACCAGGTTTCAGTTTGAAGATGAAATAATTCTTTCCAAGGCCATCTATAGAAGGTACAGTCACTCCCCCGCCGACCAATCAGAGACAGATCCTGAGTGACGTCACCCCTGATGCTCGCAAGGGGTACTCCGTTCCTTTACCTACAACGTAAAAATGACCAACTTTCTTGAAGATTATTGATGGCATTCTACGCCTACTGCTCAACCGTTGATGTCAATGGAAAGACCAACTAATTTTCTAGCGACAAAAAAAAAACAGCAATATGCTAAGAAATGGCCGGTTTTGAAGATATAGACGATTTAAAAACCCTCTGCAGTAGCAGGAAAGCAAAGTAAAAACGCATCGAGCTTATATTTTTACTATGAATAAATCATTTTTCAGTAAGATTTTAGATAAGATATCGATTTAATAAACAACTTTATTACAATTTTTTTATTATTTGTAACTTTATTTCAAATAATATTTTCAAAAATGGCAGCTGTTGGCAAGTAGCTTGGAAACCGGAAACGATTGTAGCGCACCGCGCCATTATTGTCCTGAGGCCCCCTTATGATGTCATCAAAAGTGGAGTGACATGGGCCTGACTCTTTCCTTCCATACCCCGGGGCGGATGTGACAAAAATGATTTGATCGCTCAGCCGATTATGAGGTCAGAAATTACTAGTAGCCAGTGCGCAATTTCACTCGTATCGAGGCGATTTTCACTGCAACACACCCCGCCTACGTCAGCAGTCGTGGTCAAAACAGGACCTTATCCACAACCGGCATCCGTGCGACAGTCCTTAACAACACATAACGCGTGACGTCATTGCTGTTGATGTACGATCACTGACGCCAGCCGATCAAACACCAGGATGTGATTAAAAAAATGTCAAAAGTTCAACTTCGGGTGACCTTTTCATCAATAAATGCTGCAGCCTCAATAAGAAATAAATATTATATTTTTGGAAATGTCATCGGTCAAACAGAGGCGCAGCTAAAGTGTGAAGTCGGTACCGCTAAACGACGGCTCTGGTAAGGTAAACAAGGGGGTTGTAGCGTCGCCTCGGTAAGGGACTACACTAGCGCTTATAGTGGAACGGACCAGGGACTAGGACTATGTATTGCATCGGTCAACAACAAATCTAGCGTATGAAGGGGTGGAGAAAAATCGGCTGGACCTGACATCAAAAACAGCTTAAACTTTTATAGGTAGATGTTTGTTTTGCAAACAAACCTCTTCCGGTCGGACCATACACAAGTCCGTCGGGCAGCAGGTACCCGGCGTATTGTTGTCGGGGAGAAGCCTTTCACAATAACAATTTGGTATTCAAGACCAGCAGAGGTAAAAAAGAACTTAACATTAACCCTCGCCCGTATTGGTGTTTTTCCAGCCGCGAACGTATAAGGGAGGGGGGGGGGTCCGTTGGAGCCCCCTTGCCGTTTCGCCCCTGATCGAGCTAGAGCTTCGCGGAAAAAAACGAGCGTGTTGCCCGTAACGAGAGGAAGCCGATGATACCCAATTTTAAGGTCCTGGGTCATCGGTTGACCTTCCAGGTCAGGTCAACCACCCAAAAGTCGGGAAAATGGGGACCTGCTAGAAAGTTGTAAAGCGTGGCTGCTATGGGGTTTTTCGGGGTGCTGATCACGAATATCATGTTAGTTTTGATCACAGATGATGTCTTCATTCATTTAGGCCAGGTCGGGTCAGATCAGGTCAGGACTCAGGTCAACCAGTAAGGGTATTCGTAGTAGGTGGCAATCGCCTCTGACAGCTTCGTAACATGTTACGAAGGCACCAAAACTACTTCGTAAATGTTCATATGGTTGCTAAATTCGAATTCAGCTCCTAAAACTGGCCTAGAAACATGTACACTCGAAAAAGTGAACCGAGGTCATCCAAGGTCAATGACCTGACCTGACCTTCCGGTGACCATGACACCCACCCTAATGCATGGGAGCAACATCATATCCCATGTTTGAACGCTTAAAACCACGAAAAGACTGCAAACGCGCCGCTAATGCGAGCCGACATATGCCGAAGCGCGATTCCGGGCAAACATGGTCTCGAAAAGTAGGTTACAGGTCAAAGGTCATTCAGGTCAGGGTCATGAAAATTTCAGGGTAGGTGTAAAATTGATTAACGCGAGGGTACTGAAAGTTTCGTCGCGATCGGCCGCTTTTTACGCGAGTTATTCGCGAAAAACCGAGGGGGGGGGGGTCCGTTCGACCCCCCCCCCCCTATGCGGGCGAGGGTTAAAGAATCTCCTAAAAGATTCGTACCTCTCTCTTGCACAGTGGCGTAAGAAATACGGTAAAGCAAGTGGGTGTATGTCCCATGGGCCAAAACATTCAATATAAACAAAATGTGCCATAAGTTTACATATGGCTTCATAAATCGCACAGCAAAGTGCGAATAATAAAAGTGAATTCTATTCCAACCGCGAGAGCTCTGTCTACGAAAAGTACATCTCAAAGCATAAGTGAGGAGGAGAATATCGCTGGACAAAAGCGCTAAGATACGTCTCCGAAGCTACCCGTCTACCATAAGGAGTAAGGACCCGGACAAGGTAGCAGTAAGCAGGCCAAAAGGCTGGGAGACAGAAGGCTTCGGGGCATCATGGGAAACGGTCAGAGATATCAGGAGCCCAGAAGTACCCAGAGACCCTGAGACATCCCAACGCTTATAAAAGGCACAGGTAAATCCAATCCAAGGCCAATGTCAATCTTGGGCAAATGTCATCCGTAACACAATCTAAGAGTTTGACTCTTTCGGAATTCGTAGTTTGCGCCCACAAGTCTTGTATCTCATCTCACCCTTCCCTAATTATAAGCCGTACCCATTACATTCCCAACCCTACCACAACGTTATGCAAGACAACAAAAATAGCATCGAGGCCACTCTCCCCGCATCCATCCCTTGTATCCAACGTCCTACCCCATGAGTGGGATGACAGTATGTTGGCCCCGGTCCAAATGGAAGACCCATGGGCGGGTGGGGGAGGGGCGGGCCAACAAAAACCAGTCTGCAGTCAGCTGCTGCACCCCCGGCCCCTCCTCCCTCCCTCCAGCCGGCCGGCCGGCCGGCCGGCCGAGCGTCGCTCGCGCTCAGAGGGCGTGGCTTGCTCCAGCCGGCCTTCGGGTTCTACCTCCCCCACCGGGTCCTGATATCACTCACACTGACCTGTGCCATAATCGGAGGATCGAATCCCGCTGGGGTCGGACTTTTATCACTATCACGGCGCCTCGTCACCTCACAGAGCCCCACTTCACAGCGTTACCCAGTAGCAACTCTCTCCAGCGCACCCAGCCCCGTCGGCGGCGCAGATGCCAATTCGCAGAAGCGAGTGAACGGGCGCTGGCTTCGGTCGAGCCAGGCTCTGGCATTGGACGCGGCCCGACAGTGTAGCAGCGCGTAGTCGTGTGCAAATGACGTCATACTTGGTGATGTCATGGGCGAGACGTGGGCTTGGCATAACGTCAAGAGTTAGAAACGTGAGGGTGGCCGTGTGAGATCAGGGCAGTAGGCCCTTAGTAATATATTAATTAGGCAAGTATGCATAGGCGGATCCAAAAAGGCTGTTTCGGACACTGCGAGGGGCATAGGCATACCCCCGACAACTTCCCTCAAAATTCGAGGAAAAAAAGCATCGGATTCGGAATTCGGATTTCTTACGCACTGCTGTACAGATATGTGCGTAGATCCGAGAAAATGGATCTGGGATCTGATCCCACGGATCCTGATCTCGGATCCGTCGGGATCATAGATCCTCATTTACTTTTTATCAACTTAGAAATCACAGAAAGTCACTCATTTCTAAGTTGCTAAAAAGTGCATTGCAAGTGCTAGGTTGATAAAGTGCATAAAATCTCACAAAGAGATTTTATGTGATTGCACATCATAATACATAGTTTTGTGGCACAATTATTGACATAGCAACACTTGGAAACCTGGCTTCAAATATTGTGCATGGTGGAATCCACTCATCATAGATCCACGTTCTTGGTTTATAGTCAGATCCCATGAGATCATAGATCCAGATTAAATTTAACTATCACACCGGACCCGGTGGGATCATTGATCCTAACCTGCAGTTTGCTTCTTCGAGATCCACTGAGATCATAGATCAATCACTCAGATCCATGCACATATGTGCTGTTGTGCATCAGGAGACTTTCAAGCTTTGTAAGCTTTTCCTCTTGAAAGTTGCTAAATTTTCTTTCTATTCTAGCCAACACACTTAAGTTTCATCGATTCCGGTCGCTGCCAGGGGGCATTAGCCCCAAATGCCCATCCCCTTGGATCCGCCAGTGCACGTATGATATATACACTATACTGATATCGTTGCGTGCAACGTGCAAACAAATTTATTATAGATTAGGTTTAGTTGAGCAAGGATTGGTACCTACCAAAAGTAAAAGGGAAAAATAACAAGTGGAGCATATTAACAATAACATATTTCAAATTTTACACACAAATGTCCGCCGAGTCCCTACCTTATATTAGACTGACCTTATCCAGGTAGTTTGTGTTGCTGGAGTGGTATGGATCTCCTTTTCCACCCCTGGATGATCCCAGCTGCGGGCTGACATTCGCTCCCTGAAGGGGATAGTTGGTGCCAAGACCCGGATATCCGCCCGGTTGACTTGGATATCCGCTTGGCTGACTTGGATAGCCACCAGCCTGACTTGGGTATCCACCTGGCTGACTTGGGTATCCACCTGGTTGACTTGGGTATCCACCTGGCTGACCTGGATAACCCCCTGGCTGGCTTGGTTGTGTGCCTGTTTGACTTGGATATCCACCTGGCTGTCCTGGATAACCCCCTGGCTGGCTTCGTTGTCCGCCTGGTTGACTTGGATATCCACCTGGCTGACCTGGATAACCCCCTGGCTGGATTGGTTGTCCGCCTGGTTGACTTGGATATCCGCCAGGCTGGCTTGGTTGTCCGCCAGGTTGACTTGGATATCCACCCGGCTGGCTCGGATTTCCACTTGAAGGTGCAGGAGGATATCCGCCTCCAGGGGCTGGAAATCCAGGCTGTGGGCTTGGATATCCAGGCTGTGGATTCGGATAGCCAGGCCCCTGACCTGGAATGCTCGGTTGCTGTGGAGGATTTCCTACTCCTTGAGGTGGATATCCGGGCTGAGGGTATCCACCTGCCGCTGGTTGTTGTCCAGGATATCCACCTGACGCTGGTTGTTGTCCAGGATAGCCAGCTCCTTGACCAGGATATCCACCACCTTGACCTGGATATCCACCTCCTTGACCTGGATAGCCTGGCTGTTGTGGCGGATATCCCGCCGGCTGGCTAGGGTATCCCGGAGCACCGCCCGGGGCTGGGTATCCCGGATAACCCGGATTTCCCGGATACGGATTGCCCTGTCGATCAAAATAATAACAAAAAATAAGCATTCTATTTCTGGCAATCGAGTACCTACATATAGGCTTCATAACGTAAAGAAATATAAGCGCAAGAGGCAAACAACATTCGGAAACTATGTAAATCATTCAACTTAAAGGCAAATTGTGGAAGTAAAAATAAAGAAAAGCTTAACCCGCGAGTTGCTGGGGGGGGCGTTAAACGCCCCCACTTTTTTCGCCGGGCCATAGCATAAAAACGGCGCGCCGCAGGCGCGCCAAATTTTGGGTACCTGTAGGGAATTGATTGAAGTTTATTGTGACAAAGTTTAAAAAAAAATCGGTCGGAAATTTTTTGAGATATCAATGTTTTAGTGACGTCATGATTTCTGAGTTTTCGACCAAAAACGGCATATGTTCAAAAAATCATATAAAATCACAGAATAGACATCCAGACATGCCGTAAACGCCATTAGACTGCCAATACCATGAACAATCAAATGGCTATCTTCGATTATTGATTATCGCTCCGCATTTTCCAAAATCTCGAACTGAATCTCGGCAATTTCTCGTGCCTACTTCACGACCATGATACATGCATTTTTTAAATTCAACTTTTTGAGCCAAACACGTACACATATGATAAAATGAATGCCACCATCGTGTTCTACGCCCCAAATTACCCATAAAACATGTGTCACAGGCTGCAAATTTCAGTTTTGATTTTCAGGGATATTTGCCTACCCGGTTGACCTGACCTTGACCCTGACCTATGCTTGACTGACCCCTACATGGAGCTGACACTCTTGTAGGCCTTTTATGATGGATTGTGCACCGTTTTGACAGAGTTTATGACGAGAGGCGCCCATTGCGAAGTCCTGAAGTCCATGCTACTGAAAGCCCGATTTCAGGTGTTTGACCTGACCTTGACCCGACCTGTGACCTCAAAATTCAACTTTAAAGTACTCATCTGAAGCGTCTCGTCGCGTTCTTTCGTTTGCCGCCTCGTGCGTTTCGCTGCGCCTATTCGTTCTCGAGTTATCGGCTGGGGGCGTTTAACGCCCCCCCCCCCCCCCAGCAAACGGTGGGTGGCGAAATACCCCAGCAACTGCCGGGTTAAAATAGACTTCCTTCACAAAGTTCGTTAGTGGGTTGGCATTCTCGATATGCATTTGCATGTCTCCGTCAGTGTCATAAAAAACTGACGAGTCGTATCAATCCTTCATCTCACTCTGAGAAAGTATTGAAGTGATGATAGATATATAGTTATCGAAAGCTCCAACGAACTAACCAACTTCGAGGAGAAAGTCCACATTACAAATTCCTGGTATTCAAAACATGCCCAGAAACTACAGATATTTTCTTACGGCAGCGACATATAGGCAAATAGAACCAGGAAGGTTTCACAATTCACAGGTATGAAAGGTCACCTCACGACATACGGCAGTCCACAGTCACTCATATTTAACATTTTTCCGTGCTATCCAAATATCCTCACATTGTCATGTAACCCTACATAAGAACGAGAACATCCGATGTTCTCGTTCATCGTCGGATTGCCTATGTTCAGCATCGGCAAAGGGCAACCATGTATCCCGTTACCCTTTCAATATACAAGCATAACGTATCACTCATTGCTCCCGCCCGATCACTCAAGATCCTCGTATCCCCGTATCAACCATCACAAACGCATTACCTATCACAATGAATCCCCAGTTCCCCCAATTACTCCGGGATCCCGTATAACACACGTACCGTATTCGGCGGGGCGCCCGGATACCCGGACTGACCGGGGGCCGGATACTGCTGGTATCCACCCCCGGGTCCGTACGGGTTGTGACTCATCCTGGATACCGGATCCCGCTCCTGGCGAAAACAGAATGGACACTTCAGACGGTCAAGGTGGAAACCAAGGGAGGGTTGCCGCCTGGGGAAGGGACAAGGGTAAATAAAATATCTACAAAAAAAAACCATAAGCGTACATCAAAAGCACTCAACACACCCAACATTGCTATGCTGTCATAGGGGCACTTGAAAAGTTGACTTGCCCCAGGTGACAACACGGGCGTCGGCAAACATTAATCCTTTGGCTTTGGCGCGGCGCCTATGGTTGCTCAACCTCCTCTTTACATTGGCCACCACGGGAACCGCTGCCATTGCTGCAAGGTCAGTAGGAGCTGAACGGGTAGTGCAGCCAAGAAAGTGCCCGAGTGGCTCCTCGCTGCACTAAATGTTTATTTCATTATGTCTCACGTCTAAGGTCAGGCCGATGCGATATCATTGCCGCCTCGTTGCTGGCCCGTTGGCTGTTTACAAATTCACCGGTCAGTCACAGCTTCAGTCTGCTATGCCATGTCTGTGACCCGCAGTGCTGGCATGGGGGTCGGAGACGAAGTCGGAGTCAGTCAGAATCGACATTTATGTCCGGAGTCGGAGTCGGTTTTTGGAAACCAGAGTCAGAGTCAGAGTCATCGAAAACCCATCGACTATGCACTATGCAGCCATCCTGACAGTCCTGACTCCTGACTAGAGATGTCAATCGGATACCAACTTTTTGGTATACCGATACCAAACCGATACCAACTTGGTATTTGGTATTTGAATCGTAACGTGTTTGGTATTTTGTTGGTATCATGAACCCTCACTAATGTATAAGAGGCTAAGAAATCGGTAAAGAAGTTGGTATTTCCCTCATTTTCCCAAGTCGGTTTGGTTTCGGTATTTCCCCATGGTTTTGGTTGGTATTTGGTTTGGTATCGGTATTCCGATTTTCCGTAATTAACCCGCGCCCTGCTGGGGGGGGTGTTTGAACACCCCCCCTTGTGGTTTTTCGCGAATATCTCAAAAACGGCGGCGCGGAGCGCCACCGTTTTTGGTACACCTTATCATACATCAATTCTACACATGTTGTGAAAATTTCAGACCAAGGTCATTCAAGGTCAGGTCACCAGGTCACTTGAAGTGACCTCACCTCATAAAAAGTTTCAATGTCTGTCATAGCTACACCGAGTGACCGATCGCTTTGAAACTTTCAGCGATTGCTAAGAGCAATAGCATTTACAAAATGTATATCTCAGAATTTTGATATCGATGACCTAAGGTCAGGTCAATTTTGCGACCTCCCCATTATAAGTCAATGGGAGAAAATTGAAATGCGCCTCTTTTGGATGAAAGACATTATAAACACTCCCAAACACCGAATTACAAGTGGTTTAGACACACTGAACATGAAAATGGTGTCCGTGACCCTTGTTTATGCCCTGAGGTCATCTTAGGTCACGAATGGTATCTAACAGTTTTTCGCAAATAACTTTTGATAGAGGCATGCTACAGCGATGAAAACGCCTTAGATGTGTTCAGCTCGACGATACGGATCGACTGATATGCAACATGACCCTTTCCGGTCAGGTCATGACCTTGACCTGAGGTCAAATTTTCAAGTTGACCTTTCAAGGTCAAGTTATAGTTCATTCGATGCGTCTTGACGAGAGGAACACGATGCCGGTAAAAGTAAGCTCGTACAGGGCTTGGGTCAAAAGTTATTGCAGAAAAACTGTTTCCAAAAAAATCGGCTATTTTTGCAGTTTTTGCCCCCTGCAGGCAAAACCGTTGACGTTAGGTCAAATCTGAGAGTATTACTCAGAAAGGGCGTTAATAGGGCTATCGAATGCGCTTTTCCGCGGCGCTGTAGCTCTATTGGTTCCCGAGTTATGCGTTGGCTTCTTGGAAATTTTCGCCATTCGACCTGGAAATCGGCGAAATTTTGCCTTCAATGACCTCTGGTGACCTGACCTTTGACCTGACCAAAAAATTGACCGAAGTGATTTCGTCATTATTTTTGACGCTCTTTCGAACGCCGCCTTCCGCGTATCGCTACGTGGCCCAGGAGCCGAGTTACAAGGGGGGGGGGTGTTCAAACACCCCCCCCCCAGCAGGGCGTGGAAATCCAGGACCCCCAGCCGGGCGCGGGTTAACATCACCTACTCCTGATCCTCAGTGCTGGAGCAAGTGAGCCCGTTCCTGGCACCCGCTGGTACCCGCATCAACGTCGTATATGCACAGGTGGCCTCGCGAATCGTGATAAACAGGGCTGGTGCGGAGTCCAGAGGCGCACCTAGGCACGCGATTGGGGAAGGTCACTGAAATATCTAAGACTAAAATTTGATTGTCTAGTGCGTTCTAATTAATCACGTATCGGGTAGTCTCCCTTTGCCGTCTCACCGCTGAGCATGACACAGTCAGAGCCGTCCAGAACTGCGTTGGCGACGTCAGAAACCGACGTCGTATAATGAAATCAAAACAGAGAAATCGTAGGTAATGCGTCGTTGTACCCTCCTGCCTCCTTATAGTCGAGCATCGGGCACTATTGTGTTGTAACAATTACGTGGAAAGGAAAGTTTATTCCACCATTGAGATTTGCGAGTAGGTATGTCATACAAACCAGCCATTTCGGGCCTGAATGCTATCAGACAGACACGACTACGAGCCACAGACATGTTAGTAGGAAGCCAGACGGCGTAAGCCGGGCGGGCCCCGCCCCCTACCCTGCCGACCCGACGCCTTCCCCGCACCCTCCCCCTAGTCAGCTGATAGCGCAAATACGGGTCCTCGAGAGTCGAGAGATGCGAGCTTTACATACTTACGGCGGGATTAGAGGCAGGGTGACACAAAAATCTCGTTCGTTTCTGCACCAATCTTCAACACTTCCGATGGCTACCACAGTCACGGGGCACGACATGATAACGGGAATCACGAGAATGCTGATAGCCAAGATAAACAAGCAAGTAAAGGCACTACGTGTCAGCGGACGCTCGGTAGAGAGGGCGCTGCCGCCGACGGCCGAACTGACATACCTGGCTGTATTTGAGACTGCAAAAAGAACCAAAGGTGCTGGTTCACTCCATTTTGCCGGAAGCTCGTAGTATTGCACTTCCGCGCTAAGAACAATCACCGGGTCCCACCGATGGCCGTCCAAGTCTCGAGCAACTGCCCGAATCTGGCCCTGACGGAAACCGAAATAAGCAGTAGCTCGGAAACTTTCGCCAGATGGCAGGAGCTTACTGCTTCGCATTCGCAAGCCTCGTGATCGCGCGAAAACTTCTGCTTTATGAGAATTTCTTTGAATGAGGTGTGCGTTTGTAATAACAGCACTAGAAATACATCACAAAATGTTGACCCAAGGAATCAAAACTTCCTATCAAGATAAGCGCGAAATAAGCACCGGTAGACGGTGAAGCCTTGAAAATGTGATGGATTTGAGTGCGACTTCGCTGAATCGCAAATCGAAATTAAAAGATATGCCGATGATTGCCTCTAGCTGATCTGAGTACAGCAGGGGCGGGCAAACTTTTGGGAGCGCGGGCCGGGTGTTGCATTTGTGAGCAACTGGGGGGCCGGAGTGCTAAGCTCGCCAGAGTTTCGTTTGTCAATGACTTAAATGGTCAATGGATGCTATGTTGCTATGACGCGACTGACCAACGACGGGCAATGACTGGCTCAGACAGAGACAAATACTTATAGTAACACTTACAAACGAATGACTTTTGACCCATGACAACCATACTAAAAATCAAGTCTGCTTATGTAAAATGCACAGTGCACACACACACACACACACACTAGGAATCATAGGTCTCGCGGGCCGGATTGCAATGCTGGCTGCCTATCCAGGCCACGGGCCGGACGCCGGAGCTTGGCGGGCCGCATCCGGCCCGCGGGCCGGACTTTGCCCGCCCCTGGAGTACAGAATAACCCAAACCGGAAGTAGAAAGTCACGGAAACTAACAGGTAAGCGAGCCCCTGGGTACATGTTTGAGTGATGATCCTGCCAGTACGAGTGCGGGTCCCACCTAAATGTGTGATTTGGTACTGGTATATCGCATTGGAGGTCAATGGGACGGGAGATACCTCATTCAATCCTGCCCCTATCTCAAGAAACAGGATTTCCTTTGCGCATCCCTACTCGTCGTTTCGGTGGTTTTGAAGGTGACCCCCACGCGGCGGCTTATGTCTTCATGGTCACCAGTCGCCCTCATATAAGTCTACTCAGAAGAGTAGACGCGACGAAAAATAAACAGCTGACTGGACGTGCGCCAACGGGTAACTGAGTATACATTCTACTGAAAACGTTTGAACGTCAGTTTCCGGTAGACGATCCCTTTGCTATGATGTACCATCAGCTGTTTCGCTTCACGTGAACCGGTCGTGTTGTCAAGTGGTACTTTTCCGCAATTCGTCCTTTTGGCTCGCGTCCCCGTCGGTGACAGTTGACCTGACTCTAAACATCCTCTTTTGGTGAGTAGAAGTTGCATAATTTATGATTCATGTTGTGATAGGTCACTGAGTTGTATTGTGTTAAGATTATGAAGATGGCCATTGGTCCAGATTCTTTTTTTGGCCTAATAATGGTGCTTGAAAATTGATGCACTTCTTCTATGTCTTTGAAATAGGTATGTTTTATCTCTCTTAGATCAATATTAGATTATTGTGTGAGTTATGGACATGTAATTTTGTTTTAATACTATCTCTGGGCTTGCATTTGGTACCCACCTGCTTTGTGAGAAGAGATACTGATACCGAGAGAAGAGATAGAAGGTTTTCAACAAATTATGAAAGACTCTTGTTACAATTGGATTTTTTTTTCATAATGACCATCAGATTTGTTTTTAAGAGCCCTGAATATTCCTCCGTATGGAAATCAAACTGGAGGATTTTCTTGTTTTTGTATGTTGGAAAGAAGCTCTCGTAAAAGTAGATTTCCTTGCAAGTTTCTATGTGAGCTTGGTTATTGTGCACAGAAGTTGAAGTTGATTTGGTTCTGATTGATAACCTATTGCCACCTAAATTTAATGTAGGGAATTGCCCATTTTTAGCTCTCTTTTCAAAACAAGACAATTTCAATTTCAGTCTAGCGCTAGATGTCCATCAATCTTTTCCTCCTGGTGGTAAATCTGATGATTGATGTTTGTTTGCTGAATGACGAAAAATGGCCTTTGAATGAAGGTGTAGATGTTTTCTTACACTGATTTTATGTTACATATAGTCTGGCAAACCTAAGAAAGAACGGAGTAAGAGTTAAAGCGCCTGAATCACTTTGCACATGTTTTGAGCACTTGAAATGTATGGCTTGGAGAAAGTAGTGTGAAAAGTTGTGAGAGAAATTATGCTCTCACAATATAGATGCACATCCATCAATGACTGCAACACTTAAAATCCATTTCTTCTTAGGTTTGCCAGACTATAGCTTTGCTTTTTCATTATGGTGGTGTTATTGAAGGGAAACGAGACAGCTCAGGTTTGGTGACACAGCTGTATCTTAGGTTAATTTTTAACACCAGCAAGGTGATATAAGCTGGGCATAGAGACAGTCTAATAGGAATATGTATATCTACCTTTGATAATGTCTTTAATTCAAGTTAGCATTTCAATACAGCAAGCATACCTACCAGGGATGCGGAGCCGTGGAAATTTCAGACGGCTCCGACTCCGGCTCCGGCTCCGGAGAAAAAAATCGGCTCCGGCTCCGGCTCCGGCTCCGGGTGAAATGTCATGGCGGCTCCGGCTCCGGCTCCGGCTCCGAGTAAAATGATCCGGCTCCGGCGGCTCCGGCTCCGGCGGCTCCGGCTCCGGCTTCTACCAAGTAGGGTAGTGTGGGGTAATTTGAGCATATTTTTACGTCTTCTCCCTTGTACCAACTTCCAGCTCAACCCTGGATGAAGAAAAACTGTTTCAGTAGCGCATGTGTCACTTGCTTTTACCATGCAAGCCTCATTTTTGGACGAGCCGAGCATACCTTGAATAGCATAGCATCACTTCTCCACCAAGTCACGGTGTGTTCAAATTACCCCACGGTGGGGCAATTTGAACACACTGCCTTTACCTGCCATAAAAACGATAGTCTCGCCAGCACCGATGCATTGTTTGACCCATAAACGAATAGGTAGAGCAATTCTAAACATACCTTCATTTGAAAATCAACACAGCAACAAAAATAACAGTTGCAGAGTATCGATATCTGCACGCTGCACACAGGTCAGTTGAAAGAATTCGCCTCTCTTCAATTAACAGGACGTCTATCATCTCCGTTCGATAAAAACTCTACCAAACCTTACTTCATCTGTTATAGTGGTGCCAATCGGAACCTGGACATTCGGAGTTCCGATTCTTTATTATGTCCAATTCGGAATTGATTGCACAAAGGTAGGTATAGTAGTCTGGACAACATTGGACGATGGCCTGCCACACTTGAGCATTTTTATCAAGTAATCGTGCGTAGCATTGCTTGGCGAATGGAAAGCTTGTTAAGCTCTCAATGTAATGAACACTTTTCGGCTGGTAAAATTACGTGATAAGCAATATAAATGACGGTTTTGAGTGTTGATAGCTGCATAATTTTCGGACATATTTGGACAAATAGTTGACTTTAACATTTTTGGACGGAAAATCAACGAAAATGCCGGGCATTAGACGGAAATTAGACGTAAATTTTCGAAAACTGGCATCACTTATCTGCTACTGCTTTGGGTCGAAAATATTGGCAAAAAAAAACTGGGAGAGCTGTTTTTTCGGAGCTATCCCTGTTTTCATTGAAATTCTCACACTATGTTCAAATTACCCCACACAAAAAGTTATTTTGCCATTTTCAAAAACAGGGTTCAAAAGCAAATTTCTTGGATTGAAGACACTGATTAGGTCATTGTACAACAAAAGCTGTTACGTATTAGGCACTAGCAATGCAAGATTTTGCGCTACAATGAAGTTGCAATGACGTGTTGTTAGGCGTTTATCCTTGCGAAATTATTTTTTACACTGTGCGTCAACATCTTCATTCCCTGAAACTTTAAACCCCGTTCATATGATAGCCCTTTTAGTTACGATAATTTCTCTCATTGGTCTTATTGTCATGCCACTTATGGATTTTCCGTAATTTTGTGTTATTCACACTATGTTCAAATTGCCCCACATGTTCAAATTACCTCACCCTACCCTACATCCCCTATGCGATCAATTAAATACGGGTGGAATACCACATTTTGAATACCACATTGTTTTACGCCTTGAAGGTGGTGGCAGCATTGCTTTGAATGCGAGGCGAGGTGTAACCGTGTATGCGAACACTGAAGGTAGAGAACACTGACCAGGACCTCGACGGTCCCTACTGTCAAACCGAACTAGGTAAATAATTGTTTCCTCTAAAGAAAAGGAGCCGGAGTCGCCCCCTTTTTTGACGGCTCCGGCTCCGGCTCCGGCTCCGGGCTACATTGTTTCACGGCTCCGGCTCCGGCTCCGGCTCCGGGCAAAATATGCCGGCTCCGGCGGCTCCGGCTCCGGCTCCGGCTCCGGCTCCGCATCCCTGATACCTACTGTTTTTCTTCTTTAATAAATATGATTCTGAGAAGAGAACATTCTTAAAGGAAGACTGCCACCTTCAAAAAGTTTTCTCAGATCGGCCTATGATTTATTCCCTGGACAAAACAAAATTTTAGAATTCACCTGACAAAGTATCACGTGAATCGCGAAAAAAATGTCGATTATCATACAATTATCAATCGGTTAATGTCTAGCGACAATGTTTACACATCACTAGACTTCAAGGTCATAAGATTATTACATTTTATTTGAAAAAGTAAGGTATTTTATGATTTACTAATATATGATTTCATAAGAAATTGGCCATGTTTAATTTATTTTGCATTTAAGTTCGTAAAACATTTTTAAAAATCATGGCTCATTTGGAATGGGTCTGGCCCATGTTAAACCCCATTTCCCACACTTTTTTGGAAAAAATGAACTACTGAATATATAAGTTTAACTTTTATTTTGACACTCCAAAAT